CTACAAATTCGAGTATGTGTGTAATGTATATCGCGCATGTATCGTGTGTTTCGAGTATTCGCGATTTGTGTACACGTATATGTTCCGTGTCGTGTATGTATAGATGTGTATCTGCTTGTTGTGTGTGTGTATTTACTCATGGACATGCATGTAGACTTGTAAAGCGAATTTTATACAGAATTCATTGAGTGGCGTCTCGCTCGCAGTCAACGCGCAGAAACGAATGGATCTTTTTATTCGCGCTCCCCCCCTTCGTTCTCACCGAACGATGCATTTGGCTGAACAGGGTCGCCGAATTCGGATCTCGCCATGGCCACGAGTAGTTGGTATTTCACTCCCTCCTTACGCTAAACGAATATACTATACGAAAACCGCTACCGGGTACTCGCTTAATCAGTATTCGCATAAGTAATATGTCATCACAATCGTATTACCGTGGAATCCATGGCCCGATCGAATTGAGCATCCCTGCTAGGCTCCTGATGCGCTCTCTCTTTCTCTCCCTATTTCTCATTCATTCACTCACTCGTTCACACATTCATTCTCTCTTTCAGTTTTCCATCTTTTATTTTTTTGCTTCTTTCCAAGTAACCCGTCGCAATTTCACTTTACCGAGAAATCTATCGCGTCTTGCTCTTATTCGCTCTTTCTCATTTATAGTAATATCCGCATAAACGAAAAATGACTTCTTCAAAGAAAGGGAAAGCACTCGACGAAGAGCCGGCCCTAGAGTTCCGTTTCTTTCGTCATTCGCAATTCTTTCTCACGCGTGGCCAGGGAGGAAGAAAAATCCCAGAAAGTCGAAGCACAAAAAAATTATTAATACGACGTGTGTCAACAACGATTCTAGAAGCGTGGCAATCGGTACGTTTGTTCTTCGGATCTTCGATTTATCCAGAGGTACATTATCTATGACTCGTCGCGATTTGATCCAACAAAGTAAATTCAAAGCTGATGCAACAAGAATCATTTCATAAGAATGACGAGAACAAGCCGGTTTTATCATCGGTAATCGGCTCAGGTCATGATTTAACAGATTCTTCGTTGTCTTCTTCTTTATTGCATCACTGGGTATAATAATAAAAGAAAAAAAATGGTTAATTACGTTTTATACTAACTGACGTTAGTGAGGCTCATACTGACGTGATGACAGTCTCTAAGAGATAAAGAAATTATTCCTGTGTCTTCTTTATCGCGACGTTCTTAACGCGAGGCGTACATCACGCTTCCTTCGTTCGTTCGTTCGAGCACGTCGCCGCATTAATGTGACACCATTTTGCGATTTGAGTAATTATAATTTCAATAATTGCACGTTTCCTTCGACAAAAGCAAAACAATCGTAAATTAAGTAAGATTTATTCATCATGGTTTTTTTTTGTAAAACTAGTCAAAGAATCGCGAAGTTGCTTGGAGAAACTTTTTTTGCCAGGACATTTCAAGTGATTTTATAATAAACTTCTAATTCTAAGATTCCCCCTCCCATCCACCCTCGGGCTCTCTCATCACTCGCTCCTTTACTTCTCAACGCATTCTATCTCACTCACTCAGTCTGACCACACACGCTCTCTCTTTCATAAACTTTCTCCTCCCTTCTCTCGCGAACCCTCCTCTCCCGCGGGCCGAATTGTGTTTCTTTTTTTATGATTTATCTTGATTTTGTCTCGTTTTATTTAAAAAAATACTGAATTAGTAACCAAGCTAAAATCACAGACTTGCTGGTGATTTATCCCAGCGGATTTGTACAAATTCCTCCTGAAGGTCTCTCTTTCTCTCTCTTTCTCTCTCTTCTATATATATATATATGTATAATTACAAGATGTGTGTATATAATTATGTATATATAATATATGCGCATATATATATAATTACAATTTATTCGCGAAATAAATGTGTATATGCTCGCATTTCCTCCTTTTTCGCCCTACCCCCTTTTTTCTCTCTCCTTCCTATCATTCTCATTTCAACGCATCTTCTCTTTCTCTCTTTCTTTCGCTCTCTATCTCTCACTCACACATTCTCTCTCTCTTTCTCGCTCGCTCTGTTGCTCTCCTTTAGCATTCGTCGATATTTATAGATTTTTATGTGTGCTTGTGGGAACGGATGAATAACGCAGAGATACATAGGATAATTCTCGCAGACGAGCGCGCCCTTCTCAATCCCGCGTTTCCCGGCGGAAAGCTAAAGACAAAGGGAAAAAGGAACGTGTCTTGTTAGCCAGCAAATCATCAAAGGACGACGCAGCGATGAGCAGATCTCACCGCACGGCTCTCACACTTTCTCTCCAGCCACGTCCCGCACTACTTTCGACAGATTATATATTCGAGATCGCTGGTGTTCTACAGCCGTCGATACGGACGATTGGATATTTCCCCGATATGTGTAAAAAAAAAAGGAAACGATAATCTCTATTCCACTTTTGTCCTCGTCGGCGTCGCGCACGGCAGAGTCCCCCTGTTCTGACGTCATACGTAGCGGTTCGTAATGACAAAAGCCTTTTTTTAATATTCGCCACGGTGTTAATAAATAACACGCAGCATTAGCGCGTACGTGTTATGATGCGAGTCTCCGATTACTTTGGCGCATGACGTCAAAGCCGAAGAGGACCGAGGAGTTTATTATGAGCGAGGTAAGGTTGATCTCGTCCTTCCGCTGTTCCCGCGGGCGCGTTCGGCGATTTTTAAACGAGTCGTCTCAAAAGTCTTCCGACACTTAACGAACAAATATGCAAATGTTTGCTTCCGAATGGCGAGAAGTACGTCGACTTCTTCCGGTGGGATGCTACTCTCGCATATGCGAATATACGTACGGACATGCGAAAAAGGACAAGGACGAACAGGAGTCGAGTGTGTACGTGAGTTTTTTGACTCCGACCGACTGGCGACAACCCGATTAAAACGCGCGGAACGCGCGCGTTTTTCGCAGATAAAATTCTCGCACGTGTATATGTAATACATATATATGTACCATTTACATACCGGTATGTATAGTAAGCGCACACGCCGCTCGTGTTTAGGTCGTTACATACGGAAATTGCTTATATTGTCGCTCTATTCTTAGTATAATCACAGACATGGTTTCTATAATTGCTACGTACAACAGAGCCTTTTCTCGTTCGACGCCGAACACGATAGGTTCTCTCTCTTTCTCTCTCTCTCTCTCTCTCTCTCTCTCTCTCTGCTCCCTCTTTCGTTAGCCGTTCAATCTTTCGTACGTATTACATCGCACACCACTCATGCATACGCATACACTCTTTCACGCGCAAAACTCTCACACCTCCATTCCCACGCACCCGTACCGAAAAAAAATCCAATAAAAATTTTCACATGTGACGGGATATCAAGTCCAATTTGAATTTCATGGGCAAAAACTGAAATCGCGCCCGCGCGCGCACTCTCGTAATAATCCGTCGAGAACGCGAATCTCGTTCTCATTATTAACGCGAGCGTATCGGTTCGTCAAGTAACGGTAATTGAACAGATCTTCGATGCCACGAGCACGAAGCAGACGCGTGATTAATCGAGCGAACTCGATTATTATTGCCGGAGCGGGCGAGCGTTACGTGTCGGGTGAGTACCGCGTACATACGCGCGCATTCGATCATTCTCTCTCTCTCTCTCTCTCTCACAGAATCACTCTCGCGGTCACTCCCGAAACATACGCAGCGGAGAAACATACGCAATCGCACAACCGTGCATCGAGCGACTCACTATCCCGAGACCGACTCTCCATAGAAAACACGCCCGGGTGCCTTCTCGTGGATAAAATCACAGCAATTTTATACACCGTCATGTTTTCACCCGCTTTCTTCCATCTCACGCGAGGGATATAATATACAATTCGTCGATTATGTACACGCCCGGAGGCGACTTCAACTTTTCTATCCCTCGCCCCCGCGCGAGTACACACGGTGCTCTACATACATAACGCCTATATATATATATGTATATATGTACATATAACTCACGCGCTTTTGTGAAATTTGTACATGTGTGTCTGCGAATGTTTTGTGTGTGTTTTATGTGTGCGTATGTGTGTATGTATGTATGTATTGTGTATGCACATTCAGACTACTGCTTGAGATTTCTACTGTCGAGAATCGCTGTCACAGTTGAAACACTTACGATTCGTACTACTGAGAGCCGTTCTCGAAAAATAGAGTTCGCAACTTTACACATCGAATTTGGAACTTCGTTACCGTGATGCCGCGTTTTGCGAAATTTCTACACTCGATTTTCTCAGAAAATCGAAATTACTCGACAAATTCATATTACGATATACGCGAGGAGATGTGAATCTTATTTATCTTACAGAATGCTCGTGGGAAACGTTAATGAAGAGCAAATTCGATGAATGCAACACCGACGATCTTAACACCTCACGGCGAGATCCACAGTGAGATCCAGCGATCGTTTTGCTTAAGACTCGTTGGTGCGTGTTTTCAATTTTGTGTGAATGTATTACAGGATATTGGTGTATACGTGTTTGTCGTTTGGGTGGCTCGGTGGTAATCTGCATTGACAGTGCGAGGTTCGACGAAAATTCTCGATCGAGAATGGAGAACGACTGACTCTCATCACATTCCACGGGTGGTTCTCAACTTTATGATCGTACAAGCCGACATGTGATGGGAAAATATCGAAATGGTAAAGTTTGTACATATGCGACAGAATTATTGTATCTAATTGTAAATGACCTCCGCGACGTAAATCACGTGTACTTTCTCTCGGACAAGCTTTGAAGCTGTATCGCAACAATCAGGATTTCATTTCAAGAAAAAACAAATATCTGCTTTTCGTGTCGAAAGGTATTTCTAAGCTGGCGCAAAACGATCGATCGCTTCTCATGCACGTGTTACTGCACGTCTCGTAAATACTTGTCGGCATGTACGAACCTTAATTCGAGATCCGACGGTGACGAAAAGTGTGTGGAAGAAAGACGCTGGTAGTCCGGGAGGATGCAAGAGATAGAGAAATCATGTGTAGCATATATATATATATATATATATATACATATACATACATCCACATATATGCGCGTGTATGTGTTGTGTCTAAATGTATGAGTACGGTTTTTTTACTCCCTCGAGAACGTAGGAAGGGCGATGAGGGCTGGCTGGTCTTCGTTGTTCCTCCCTCGCGTGGCTGCTTTCGTCACGAGAGACGCTCGGAGGTTACGCGGGTGGAGGAGGTGCTGAGATCAATTAGTCGGCTGCTGAGAGAGAGCTCCAAGCTCGCTCCGTTCTTTCTCGCTGCGACGGCCGCGAAACATCCTTCTCCAGCGAAAAAGACTCGACCGATAGTAGGGCGATTGATGACGATGACGATTCAGGGGAGCCAGGCGTCGAATCAACGAAAATCGACTGGTCTGCGCTTCCGTTCTTCTTTTCACTCTTCCATCGCGACACAGTTGTTTTCCCCTCGTTCCGTTGGTTTTTCGATCGAGCGCGTAATAAATCGCGCACAGACTAGTCGCTCGGGAACACATTTCTCTTCTCGACACATGCTCCTTTTTTTTTTTCAATTCACTCCCGAGATTTTTCACGCGCGAGAGGAGAATCGGGAAGCGCGAGACTAGACTAGAGTCGAGTTCGAGGCGACCGACGCGCGTGGATGAGCTCGCGTCTCCCGGAAGGATGGACTCTCCCCCGTGTAGCAGGAAGTCGCTCGAAGCAGAGAAGAGGCGCGACGAAATGCGACGCTGCAGATCATCGACGATGCTCCGTTTTCACATTTTTTCTTTTTTTTCGTAGAAGACGAGAGAGAGAGAGAGAGAGGGGGGGGGAAGGAAGGAGAGACGGCGATGGAGGACCGACTCTTCGCTCGAGACTCTCGGTGCACCGAGAGAAAGGAAGGAAAAAATAGAAAGGAAAAGGAGAAAGAGAGAAGATTAAACGCAAGGAGGGACGACGCACGCACGTTTGGAGTCCACGAAAGGTTGAGCGCGCGGACCTGCACGGTCCGACGCGACACACGGGATATCACATATCACGAGATGTACGTGCGCTTCAGTAGATCATTTCGAGAGCGTGGATACGAGCGCGACGGCGAGCCCGGCGATTCAGCTGGAGACGTATGCGGCGATCTGCTCGCTGAATTGCGTGTGCTCCAGCAGCAGTGAGTCCTTGCAGCTCTCGAATTGTTGCTGTTGCTGCTGCTGCAGCGGTGGCATAATCGGCACTTGCTGATGCTGCTGCGAATGGTGATGCTGGTGCTGATGCTGATGTTGCTGCTGATGATGGTGCTGCTGCTGCAGGGAGATCTCTTCCGCGCATTCGGCTTCGGTGCGCTCGTACAGCACGCAGATGGAACCATTCTCGCCGATCCTGTACGACACTTCTGACGGGTCGATCCACATGGTAAGCTCGCTGGGGAACAGGCTGTGCAGTACCGTCGGCAGCAGGCCGACGTTCGCGCCCGCCTGCGCGATCACCGGGTCCATTTTACCGTTGATGCGTATACAACGGTAGCCGGAGCCGCGATTCGGCCGATCCGGGAACCAGTGATCCCGATAACGGTGGCGCAACACCTCCGTCAGCGATGATTTGAACATTTCCAATTGCCGTTCCGACAGCTGACCCGCCTGCAGGCGCAGCAGGTGCACCAGAAAATCCGCCGCCGACACGATTTCCAGTCTCATGGTCGGTGATGACCCAGGGCGAAGGCGTAGATGACGAAAATCGAAATAGAACTCTCTCTCTCTCCTTTTCCCCTCTATCGCGGTGGGATTGACGGTGCGCGGATAGGAGTCACACCGATGACGCACTGTCTTTTGCTCGGGCTCTCTCTCTCGTTTTCACGCCGTCGCCGTCTCTCGTGATCCAAGGCGATCCGAAGGCCGAAAAGCGCTCCACGTCGCTTTTTATACTTATTGACGAAAGCGAACGGAGATACGCGCGTGTCACGGGTCACGGCGCGGCGATGAGTAGGCTCGACGGCGCTGATTCCGAAAGAAGCGCACAGTACCAGTCACAAAATGGCGTCGCCACGTCGCTGCGTAGCACTCGACAGCGCTCGTCGTACGTCGTCGACCCTCCAGCGCGATGGGCTAACCGCCGGAGCGTCCCTCGAAGATCCTCACCGCTGAGGATGCAACCCGGCGCACAATTGCAGATGTACGCGGGGAAATCAATGTCCCGGGCAAGCGTCTCCACGCGTCCGTTTCTCAGCGCTCGCCTACACTGGCCCTCACTGGCTCCGAGAATTCACCTCGTCGACTCGTCCTCGAGTTCCTTCACTGGAATAAATCGCGGATGGAAAAGACTGTGTTTTCCGTCACGCTTCTTTTCACCGGATCGATTCTGACGATTCGGCCGATCCGGGAGACCTCAATGGATGGGTATCGCGGAGCCAAATTTCTAAAGCCGCGATCGGGGCGTTTATCTCTTCCACTCTCTTTCCGTATTCCGAGCCTCGGCAGACTGGCCAAATAAAACTTTCTCGCGACGTCCGAACGGATGGACCAGCTCTCTTTTATCTCTCTCTCCCTCTCGCTCCCTCTTTCCAACTCGCGGTGTACCCGCGTTCATCGACTGCCGACGACTTTCTAATGGCAGCGCTCGCGACCGCGGACGGGGTAGCCTCGTCTCTTTGTTCGGGCGACGTCGAATGGGGGATACACGTCGCGACGTCGGCCAATCGAGCGTCGCCGGCGCCCACCGTGACCCGCTGTCACGTGACCTCCCCCCTGTGTGCGCTGCGCACGATGGTTGCGCACGAAACTGCAGCCGCGTCCCGAATCCCGAATACGCGCAGACCCCGTCTGCGCGGTGTCAGCGATTCTCAAGCGGTTCTCAAAGCGCGCGTTTAACGCGCGAGCCGACGTGAAACGTATTCGCCGGGCGAAACGAGATCGCGAAACGGGCTTGCCTCGCCATGAGAACCGAACGTTAACCACTTACATTTATACATAATTCAATTGTATCGCGCGCATGCAGAACAATCTGTATTGAACGCCACTTTGTTGTCTTTTACTCGCGCAAACAAAGGCGGACCGGCGTTTCTGATTGTTTCATGATTGACCCTATCATTTTTTTTGTCTTCCCTGACAGAATGCGTCGTTTAATTGAAAGAGATTGCGCTACCTGAATGTGCACAAGGTGCATCCTCGGAAACATCTGTGTGTCTTCCCGATAACGTGGTCAGAAACATACTGCCGTACCATAGATAGACTAATGCTGTAACTTTAAATTAAAATAACACCAAGTGGAGCGTTGTATCGATTTGTGCGAATATATTAAATATAATATTGAATATAATAGTCTTAAGATATAGATTGTACCACAATTTTGCGCAGATTCGTGCAGGCTGTCTCACCGGATGAAATCTTTTCAATATGATTCAAATTTACAATTTATTTTAACAATTCAAAGATAATTAATTATTCGTCAAATGACTCGAATGTCGTGCAGCCTTGAAATCCCCAACGTAAGTAAAGTTTCCTAGCGCAAAGCCAAGGGCAGCGTCACTTTATTTACATCCACCGTGTACGACCGCAGTGTCAAAGTAAAGTTACACCGGTTCCATTCTACGACGTTCCTAATTGGTTGCGTCAATTTAGCAAGTCTAGCTGTGAGCACCACTGACCCCACAAGTTTTTAAGTACAAATCTGTACGGGGGAAGAGGGGGGAAAGAACGAGCGCGAGCACAGGGAACTAACGCCGACTGCTAGAAAGCGCGTAGGTTACAATGCCATACAACTAACTACACGACGAGCTTGGCGACCGTCGTCGCCGGGGTAGCGGCATGAAAACCACTCCGTCCGGGATTTAGCCCGAAACTCGAACAACGTGCTCGGCTCGAGGGGGAGGGGGGAGTCCGACCCCGTTCCCGCGGTACCCTTTTGCCTTAACCCTTTGAACGTGCAAGTTTTGTACCCTTTCAAAACGCTTCAATCAACGAAATGGAAGGGAAGGGCGACGTGGAAATCATTTCGTTCACTCATTTCGATCTTTTGTATACTCGTACAATGTACACAGTAAATACGCTTGTTATTTAAAAAAAAAAAAAAAAGAAATCATTATGTCTCGACCAAAGATATCTGAAACGACACGCGAGGAAGGATGCAACTATTACGGCTGCGTTAAACTAAGAGCCGGCGTACGACACGGACATTCCCGAATTGCCGAAAGTCTGGCCCACCGGAAGGTGAGTCGGAATTCGACAGAATCCTCCCTTCCAAAGGTATGAAAGCGGATCTGATTTGCCAACCGCGTCGCTATGTAGAGCATTTCACTCGTAATTCCGGGAGTTCGCCACTGCCAAGTTGGCAACTGAGTGCCGATCGATAAGCCCCGGATTATCGTGGGGCCGACCTCGCGAAAATTCACGAACCGCACACGCGAATTTCCCTACGTCGGGAAATTCACGCCGGCGCGCGAGCCGCGGCCGCACGGGAGTCCGGCTCGCGACAAAAATCGCGCGCCGGTATAGTCGCCGTCGCGACCAGAGTGGCAAACTCGCGTCGGTGGCGGGGGGCCATTGCCGTTTACCGGAAATTCGACGAATTAAATTCTGGAGCGAGCTTAAAACCGCTCAACTATCGAGTAACTCCGTTTTCGCGCACAAAGGAAGTTTCGCTGACGCGCGCGGAACAGAGAAAATATTACGACGTTCGATGATCAAAGGCGGCTGAACGTCGTCCGGTCGCGGAACTGGTTAATTTTGCAATCGACGTCTACAGCCAGCGGGCGGTCTGTTTTCGCGTCGCGCGATATACCTATATACATCAGGCGTCGACCGACCGCTTCCGTTTCCGCGCCGTCCCGCATGTGCGTAATTGCGACGTATAAAAACGTCGAAATGCTGAATCCGCGAATCCACGATTTCGCGAGTCTCGTCGACGTCGTCAACTTTACTTTATACCAGCCTGCGAGATTATTTGATTACAATGAGATTATTGCGACTCTGTTATCGATATAGTATACCTATAAAAATGTATATAATGTGTAGAATAGACAAATAATCGAGCTTAATAACAATATATGTACGTCCTTTCTCGATAAGATAAATTCTTCAATTCCAGCGCTTTCCGCCTGTTGGCGGAAAAAATGATTTGGTACTCCGAAACCGCGATAATGATACCACGACGAAATACCTCGTCCGCGTATTCCAAACGCGAGGAGAACGGAGAACGAACGCGCTATGCACGATGGACGAAATATGCCGAACGTGCAATTGGCCGGGAGGGGCTGCAAACGCGCAGAAGGGTGCCGTATATTCAAATTACGGGGTGACCCTTCTCGAAAACTTGACGAGGGGGACGGAGGGAAGCTCGGAATTGCCGACGGTCTCTCTCTTTCCCTTTCTCTCTCTCTCTCTCTCTCTCTCTCTCTCTCTCTCTCGCCGGGAAGGTTCTCTAAAATCAATAGGGCCGGTTCGGGGACCTCGTGCGTTCTGCATTCTGCCCGCGAGGAGGAGTTCCGCTTGAAAATACGTCAGCCGTGATCCCTGCGGAACCCATTCGCCACGCACTCGCCTGCAGCCGCTTTGCGACGCGGGGCAACCCCTGTTTAAGGTATAAGCGATCCACTCCACAGGACACCTCTCGCCGAGACGTGAGAAACTCTTAAGAAATCAGAGACGTTAATCGCGCCTTCGAAAGACATGACTTTCCGTTGACGGGCGAGAGAATCGTATAAGGGAGAAAAGAAGTAGCGTAAGGACTTGGTAATACCGATAGGAATAAAGATATGATTGAAAGGAAAATATTTACGTATCTTTGAGCGAGTCAAATCGCGCTCTCTCACGGGATTGATTTGTTTTCACTTCGAACGCGTTACCCTCCGCGTATTACACTTCAACGTGGCACTTATAGTTACTACTCGCACAAAGGGTTATAGACTAAAAGACTTATAGGGGCGATGACGTAAGTATATATGTAAGATGCGTTCCGGACGCGGGCAGCAACCAGACGGGTTTTCGCTCGCAGGAGGACGGAGGTAGTTATCTCGCTATACGCGAAAGGATTCGCACAATTGCGACCGGGGCGCGAGATGTGAGCGACTCCTTCCTCCTCTTCGCGTGCACTTCGGCGTCCTCACCACGCTTCTCCGCTTTGCGAGAGTTACTCTCGTAAAAACGGCATACGCGGATCGTGGCGGCCATTTCACGTACTGTACGATATAATCGCACCCGGCCTGAGCGTCTAATTTGGAACTTTCTTCCTCGAAAGCCGCTCCCCCTCGGAGAAACGTAGAATTAGAAGACGCCGCCAGCCCTCTCGGCCAAGCTTTAGTGGTCCTGAGAAAATGTTCGGCTCGTAACACGTGTGCAAGAGAACACATGTGTGGGAAATGTCGGTGGTAAAAAAGATTACTTGGAGAAAAACATTTACTGCTCACACCGGGCTCAGGATGTCCGTCAATTTTCATATAAAGAACTTTCCGCGAACTTTCGAAAATAAATTATTTCACGAAATGGGAGATAAACGTTACAGGGGAGGATCTACGTATCATTTAACTGAGAATCCGAAAATTTGCGAGGTTGAAGACGCTTCCTGGAAGACAGCGCTGTCTCTCCAGCGAGTTTCTCGAATATCCTATAGAAACTCTATCTGAAGCCGTGCATCAGAACCGCTTCTCGGAGCGGCACGAAGCGAAGGCGGAGCGCGGACGGAGGCCAAAGATCGACGAGCCTGGAGGAAACGAGAATCCCGATGCCTTAGACGTGCCCGCGTATAGCGCTCGAGATGTGGAGGAGCGAGAGAGGATAAGCGGATACCCGCGGTATCTAAGAACGGCAATAAATTTTCTCGGAAACTGCACGTCGCGGGAAAGTATAAAAGTTGTTACGATATGGTCCAATCTTAATTCGATGAATTATTTAGCATTATCGTGGAGTGGAACGGATATTTTTTAAATATGTACGCTATTACGAGTACAATGAGATGGCAGTACCGAAATGGAAATATTACGCTCTGATCCGAAGTAAGTATATATAATGATGTATTAGCGAGGCTCTTTTAAGAGTTCCATATATACTTCGTGTGCGTGAAGAATCGCACGAACGAAATTGCGAAACGCTTCAAATCTCCTGAAAAGCCGTATATACAATATCGCGGCGAATGCGAATGTGAAGGCACGGCCGCTCGGTGATTTGCTAACATCAGGGCCATCTAACTGTTTTGTAGAACCATCCTACTTTTCTTTGAACGGCGGATCGCGCGAGGTGCTCAACCTCTATCCAGCGGGCAATGCGCTGTACCCGCTCCGATCGAAATGGAGCCGGACCGGTGCCGTATCGGAGATAGATGGTGTGCTCTGCCCTCTCTCTCTCCTCCGCGCTCCTTTCGCGCTCGTGATGACGTCGCTATACGCGGTTGCTTAATTTTAATCTGAACGACCGTTAAGCTGCGTTCAGATAAAAAAAATTATTTTCCTCTCACGTAGAGATACGGGATATTATGAAATATCGTCTTGTAAACAATCTCGTTCGCCCTATACGCTACTATCGCGCTCGAAACTCTCATCCAGGCCGGAGATTGTAAACTTTTTGACATATTGCTGCAGCTCGCTCGTAAAATCTCCTCTCCCCCTCTCCCTCGTTCCTCGTAATCGTTCGTGACGTTCAA